TACAAATATGGTCAAATAACTCGCATAAAATTTTGATTTAAAGCTTTCGCGACTGCAGGGATTCATATTCTTGGTTCTTTCGGTAAAGTAAATATTTTATTGTTTCCCTTCTTCGTGACTTTACCGAAAGAACCAAGAATATAACTCGCATAAACTAAACGTTAACATTGTCTTATTCTTGGTTCTTTCGGTAAAGTCACAAGTTAACATTGTCTTTAAGAAATCCGTACACTGGTGAAACTGGTTGTGACAAGCTTACGGCAATCGACTGTTTAGATAAAGGCCCCCAACCCACGCTGTATCGGTCATAGGGGTTGCTTGACCATACTTCACCACACTGATCAGTGTTCCGGAACTGAAGGCAAGGGAAGGCATAGATTCTAGATTTAAAGCTTTCGTGACTGCTAGGATCCATACTCTTTGGTTCTATTGGGTAAAGTCACGTAGGTGAAAATAAAATTTCACCTACGTGACTTTACCCAATAGAACCAAAGAGTAGGGAGGCATAGACGTTGGCGCATAGTACAGTACAATGGATTTGTGTAGTGCCCTCTGCTGATAGCGTAGCCCCGCAGTTGTGTCCAGCACAAGAACCTCAACATCGGCCAGCCAACTTTCGCCATTGTTTCCAGGCAAGGTGAACGACTTTCACATGACGTAGAACAGACATTGTGCTCTTAACGCTATATAGCTGCCAAACTTGCAGGTGTTTGAGCAAGCCTGACGGATAATCTCCAAAGCAGTGGAGTTTGCCTGTTTAAATTCTAAACAAATTATGCTTCTGGTTAGCATACAGCAGCGAGTAAATCTCATATACCAATATGTCCATGGTGGCTATACAGCGGGCACGATTTTCCACAACACCGGGTTATTGTTTTTGTTAAAATATCAACTAAATCCGACCTCGACAGAAGGCGCTCACGAAACTCGTAACTTCCCCAAACACTGCAACTTCCTCTTAATCCTGAAAACATATATCACTTAACACCAACCCCGGGCACTTGCATCAATGGCAAAGGGGATACCAGCAAGGTTGATACATGTCACCAAATAAGCCCGGCTTCTAGAAATCGTGAAAAAATGTCTCGAGACAATGTACCAAGTTTTGTATTCGCAGTGAAACTGATGCGGGAAGCCTGACATCACCAAATGGAACGTATTATTTGGTGATTGCTGTTTCAGAGCCTTGACGGTGGTGCACAAGCACAGCTAATATAAGTACTCTTAACACATTTCAACACACTCGTCAATAACACTGGACTTTAAAGGGGAAAAACAGTACATAACAGAAGACGTTTCATGCAACGATCCTTCTTCATGGCACGTACAACAACATCGCTATATTCGCTCCTAAATCTCGAAGCTGGTTTATTTTTTTCTCTTCTGCAGTCAGAACCGCGTAGAGATGAGAAAAAAACCATGTTGTAGCTATGGAGACCCATCAATTCGCTAGATAGCTGGCGACACAATCGTTAAAGTTGGCATCACTGTTGGTACTGGGTGACACAGACGGGAGAGAGGGGGGTGGAGTTGCACACCCCTCCCCCACCCCCATTGCTGAGCCAAGTAAACGAGTCGCGCGTCATCGGCGGCGCAGACGTCACCGGACGTCATTGGCGTCATATCCCTTAATCCGAACAGGAAGTGTAGTTTGTGTGTGTGTGTAGTGTGTGTGTTGTGTGTATGTATGTAGGGTGTACAGAGTGGGAGGGTGTGTATGTATGTAGTGTGTGTTGTGTGTATGTAGTATATGTGTAGTGTATGTACAGAGTGGGAGTGTGTGTATGTAGTGTGTGTGTTGTGTGTGTGTGTTGCGTGTATGTAGTGTGTACAGTAGGAGTGTGTGTATGTAGTGAGTGTGTGTATGTAGTGTGTGTGTGTACAGAGTGGGAGTGTGTGTATGTAGTGTGTGGTGTGTATGTATGTAGTGTGTAGTATGTTACAGAGTGGGAGTGTGTATGAAGTGTGTGGGTGTGGTGTGTATGCAGTGATGTGTCTGTTTATATAGTGTGTGTGGTGTGTGTGTTGTGTGTATGCAGTGATGTGTATGTATGTAGTGTGTGGTGTGTGTACGGTGTGTGTGTGTGTGGTGTGTATGTAGTGTGTGATGTTTATGTAGTGTGTGATGTGTGTGTGTAGTGTGTGTTGTGTGTACGGACTGTGTGTATGTAGTGTGTGGTGTGTGTATGTAGTGTGTGTTGTGTGTACGGACTGTGTGTATGTAGTGTGTGGTGTATGGAGTGTGTGTGGTGTGTGTACGGAGTGTGTGTGTGGTGTGTATGTAGTGTGTGATGTTTATGTAGTGTGTGATGTGTGTATGTAGTGTGTGTGTTGTGTGTACGGACTGTGTGTATGTAGTGTGTGGTGTGTGTATGGAGTGTGTGTGGTGAGTGTACGGAGTGTGTGTAGTGCGTGATGCGTGTGTGTAGTACGTGTTATATGTGTATGAAGTGTGTACGGATTGTGTATGTGCAGTGTGTGATGGGTGTATGTGGTGTGTGTGTGAAAGGTGTATGTACAGTGAGGGAAATAAGTATTTGACCCCCTCTCAATCAGAAAGATTTCTGGCTCCCAAGTGTCTTTTATACAGATAACGAGCTGAGATTAGGTGCACATTATTAAAGGGAGTGCTCCTAATCTCAGCTTGTTCCCTGTATAAATGACACCTGTCCACAGAAGCAATCAATCAATCAGATTCCAAACTCTCCACCATGGCCAAGACAAAAGAGCTCTCCAAGGATGTCAGGGACAAGATTGTAGACCTACACAAGGCTGGAATGGACTACAAGACCATTGCCAAGCAGCTTGGTGAGACGGTGACAACAATTGGTGCGATTATTCGCAAATGGAAGAAACACAAAATAACTGTCAATCTCCCTCGGCCTGGGGCTCCATGCAAGATCTCACCTCGTGGAGTTGCAATGATCATGAGAACGGTGAGGAATCAGCCCAGAACTACACGGGGGGATCTTGTCAATGATCTCAAGGCAGCTGGGACCATAGTCACCAAGAAGACAATTGGTAACACACTATGCCGTGAAGGACTGCAATCCTGCAGCGCCCGCAAGGTCCCCCTGCTCAATAAGTTTGCCAGTGAACATCTGAATGATTCAGTGGACAACTGGGTGAAATTTTTGTTTTCAGATGAGACCAAAATGGAGCTATTTGGCATCAACTCAACTCGCCGTGTTTGGAGGATGAAAGCTGCCTATGACCCCAAGAACACCATCCCCACCGTCAAACATGGAGGTGGAAACATTATGCTTTGGGGGTGTTTTTATGCTAAGGGGACAGGACAACTTCACCGCATCAAAGGGACAATAGACGGGGCCATGTATCGTCAAATCTTGGGTGAGAACCTCCTTCCCTCAGCCAGGGCATTGAAAATGGGTCGTGGATGGGTATTCAAGCATGACAATGACCCAAAACACACGGCCAAGGCAACAAAGGAGTGACTCAAAAAGAAGCACATTAAGGTCCTGGAGTGGCCTAGCCAGTCTCCAGACCTTAATCCCATAGAAAATCTGTGGAGGGAGCTGAAGGTTCGAGTTGCCAAACGTCATCTTCGAAACCTTAATGACTTGGAGAAGATCTGCAAAGAGGAGTGGGACAAAATCCCTCCTGAGGCGTGTGCAAACCGGGTGGCCAACTACAAGAAACGTCTGACCTCTGTGATTGCCAACAAGGGTTTTGCCACCAAGTACTAAGTCATGTTTTGCAGAGGGGTCAAATACTTATTTCCCTCATTAAAATGCAAATCAATTTATAACATTTTTGACATGCGTTTTTCTGGATTTTTTTGTTGTTATTCTGTCTCTCACTGTTCAAATAACCCTACCATTAATATTATAGACTGATCATTTCTTCGTCAGTGGGAAATCGTACAAAATCAGCAGGGGATCAAATACTTTTTTCCCTCACTGTAGGGTGCGTGGTGGGTGTGTTACGCGTATGTAGTGTGATGTGTATATATATTGTGTTTAACGTGTGTGTATTGTAATGTGTATACTGTAGTGTGTGTAGGATTCATGGATTTAGCCGTAGAATGTATAACTTATTATGAGACAAACATCAAAGAGCGTTCTTGTAAGCATTGTATTTAAATTTTGATTTAAAGCTTTCGTGACTGCAGGAATTCATATTATTGGTTCTTTCGGTAAAGTCACGTAGCAGGGAAACAATAAAATAATATTTTTCCCTCACTGTAGGGTGCGTGGTGACTTTACCGAAAGAACCAAGAATACATTGTATTTTATTTAAAAATATTTGTTGTGATCAACAAATGTTTATAATCGCTGCTGTCCAAAGTGGTTTACAATAACTGCGTAACATTTACACAAGTTCATCTCTGGTTAAACAAGCATTGGACTTTGATGAGCCAGTGGTGGACATTCCACATTCCTGTGGCGGGACCAGAGCAGCCCATAGGACGATCACTGCATACCGTCACGTTGTGACTGAAAATGTGTATTTAAAGTATGTACATGCCAATGAGTTGTACCAAACTGTCACCATCACCAGCCACGATATTTCCACTGCTAGAAGGTCTCCCCAAGTCGCCATCTCTGCTGTACTATATTTATATTACCACTGACGCTACAGGAACATGCATGGGTTGTGCACAACGGCACTTGCACAACGATGTAATTGTGCACTGTACAGCAGTTAATGCCTATCATCAACACCAACAACTCGCTTTGGAAACTTCGTCCGGCCATATAATTTTGATTTAACTGCAGAATTAACCCTCGCCCGCACGTGCAGCGACTTGCCATGTGTTTGACATGCTGCGCTAAAGGGTGCTTCCAGCAATTCCGCGTGACTACGGCGCGCGCGCGTTAACGCAATCAAAAAGACACACGACGAACGGCGTCTTTCAACCACCTGAAAGTTAGGGCTTTGGACAGCAAGAAGGCAGGAGGCGTTAGGTGTGAGAGAGAAAGAGTGAGAGAACGAGTTGGGGAGGGAGGGAGAGAGAGGGATCTCGCTGCGGGTCTTACCTTTCTCGTTCTCAAACATGACACCCATCGGAGAGTCTGAGTCGGTTGGTTGGCGTACGGGGTCCCCCTCTTGAGTTTATATGGGCACAGCCGACCCCGTTCGAATGCACCCGGTCGCGCAAACAACAGCTCCTACCCACCCACCCATCCCCGCCTACATCACTGCGTTGACGTCATATCGAGCCGGGTATGATTCACGCAGAGCGCGACCGCTTCTAAATCAGCCCACTCGCCCGAAGCCCGCAATTCATCCTCCACCAATGAGCCCCCCGCGTCGCCTCGCTCTTAGGTCACGCGCACGATGTAAACAAATGCGCGGCCGCTTTGCGTTCAGCCGACCCCCAGCTGCCACGCCAGCCTGGGTTCAACCCACGGAGAGAGGGCGAGAACTCAAAACGTGTCGTCGCTTGCGTGAGTTAGTTTAGTTTTAAGTTTATTTTTTTTTTGGGTAGAGCCCTGTGAGCCATTCGGGCTCTTGAATCGGGTGCAACCACAACAAGCAAACAAAAAAAAACACGAACAAGAAAAACACTCTTAAAGTGACTTTGTGAGCGAGCGGGGGTGAGTGGACACACCTGCCAAGGATAACCCCGGCTAAGTTGCGGTCTGTTTTGTTGTTGTTGTTGTTTTCACACAGTTCACGACGCCCGTTGTGCAAAAGATGCAGGTTGTGAAGTCGCTCTTGCGAATAAGATTAAGCCTGGTCCATTGAGTGAGTTCTCGCCTGGTTTTAAAAACAAACAAACATACAAACATACTTGACTTGCCACTTTACTTCGAGCAGATGGTAGGCGGACTATATATTATATCGCAGGATCGTGAGAGATTGAGGTGGCGAGGGGAGGCCTTTCATCCAGCAGTGGATTTACCGTGGCTGATGAGGGTGATGTCAAGTTATCAAAATTAGATGCACTAAGTAACGTAGCTTCAAAACTTTTCACCATCTTAAAATGTTTTTCAGTGAAAAGTGTTCTTCACGTGTTAATTTAATGTTGTCAGATCAGGCATTTACAAATTCATGAACTCCACATGCACGTAAAGTATTTACAGTGCTGACATGAAGGGAATCAGTTATGTGTTCATAACATTTTATGATAATATGTAAACACTAGTTCTGTGTGCCTCAGAGCCAACTCAACATTGAGTGGACATCTGTGCAGACAGATAAACTTACAGACAGATAATACTGGTAGGAACCTCCTGGTTACACCACCAGCCCACAGGGGATTATTGTGTCCGTCCGTCCGTCCGTCGTGCATCCAAAAATGGGAGGGGTGGGGCTGGGTGGAGAGGGGAGGGTGGAGAGGGGCTGGGTGGGGAGGGGTGGGGCTGGGTGGGGAGGGGCTGGTCACCCCGTGGTGCCCTTATAAAACTCAACGTTTAACCTACTCACGCCGGCTTGTGCCCGCCCTCACAGTCGGGCATATTTCCGGAATACACCACGTGGTGCCGCCGTTGACCCTGGCCATTGACCGAGCAACCCAACGTTCCTACCAGCTCCCTCCGCAGGAATGTGTTCTTACAGACAGAGAATCTTACAGACAGATAATCTTACAGACAGAGAAACTTACAGACAGAGAATCCTACAGATAGACGTGCAGACAGAGAAACTTACAGACAGAGAAACTTACATACAGATACACTTACAGACAGAGAGAACATGAAGACCTGTTGGGTGCTGACACCGAATTTACGGGGGCGCTCGCTTTCATCACGGAGTCAAACGCTGTCACCCAGGCCACCCTCAGAACCAGTTGTGATGTCACGGGTCAATGCAGACACGTGATATGCGATCACTGATATCGCTCTGTTCATCTTCAGCAACGTATTTTGTAAAACAAAAACACTGCTATGTTTTCCTGCTTCTTAGAATGCTATCCTAAATGGAACGACTTCAGCCGAAACGCAGATTTCCGACAGGACTGGCTTGCCTGACACTGGCAGCAAACCACGCATTTCGGCTCAGCATCCGGGCCAGGGTGCCATCTCCATCCATCCCCGTCATCGCATCGTCCTTCGTTTGGAGGGCGCGGGCGATTCCGAGTAGGAAGGACCAAGCTCATGGAGCCGAGTGGCTCTCGGAGTGTGATAGACACAGAGCCACACCTTACCCCCGACACTGGTGACAGCCCAGGGCCATTACAATGCTAGGCAAGCGCACCTGTCAGTGATCATGTAAACGTAGCCAGAGACAACCTCCCCCTGACCTGCCTCTCCCATTACAGCCTCTCTTACCTCCTCGATGCACCCCTCTCTCCCATCCTGGCACTAACCAAGGACAAATCCGGGGTCTACATACGGCCCTTGAATTCGTTTCTGTTGCGTTTTTCACGAAACTCTGTCCGCGTGTATATGTGTGTTGAACTACTTTCGCACCGTAGATAGCCAACCGTGCTAATCGGAGGTGGCACTAGCCCCGGGGGTTGGCAACCTGCGGCTCTTTAAGGACTGCTGCTTCATCTTCTTTGGTTCTTTCGGTAAAGTCTCATTCTACGTGACTTTACCGAAAGAACCAAAGAAGATGAATCATTGCAGTCACGAAAGCTTTAAATCGAGACTGCTACTTCGTGACGTTGTTTATGAAGGACCCACCGTCTCGTATTCACCACGGCATTGTGGCTCTTGAAATATCGAGTTTTTCTACCGAATTCGACAACAAAAATGTCTCTTCTTGTTCTTTTGGCTGCCGACCCCCTGCACTCACCTATACCTCGAGTCCTGCGCTGATTCTTCTCACGATATATTGGATGTGTTTAGACGCAGGACGAACATTGGTTCCAACTGTTAAAAGCAACGTGGGTAAACTAACAGAATCAAAAGTTTCCAGGTATGGCTAGAGATAAAAACAAAATCACAATGCTAATATATTAACAACAACATCAAAAATAACCCTCCATGTTTATTAACACTGCCTTATGCATTAAAATATTCACAGTGCCATTGCCAATTGTTTTAGGCAATGGCACATATGCAAAGTAGGCAGAATTGGAATATTTATACTGGAGGGGCAGGTCACAACATTACAACAAAATAATACAAAAAACACAATCGGAGGGTAAAACATTGAAAATGTAAGCAAATCAATTAAAAAATATACAAATCAAACTAAACGATGTTTAAAAAAAAATCTTACCAGGTTAAGCTCACGGAGCAATTAGCTTATTTTTTTCAGAAATGACCCGGCTACCACAAATGATACCTCAACGAAGTGGCTTATGAGGCGCAAGGCAGAGGCCAAAAGACACGTCCTCATGGAGTGGAGATGCCTCTTTCGCACCGTGCTGCCTGCAAAAAATAAACAGCGAAGAGATTCGGCCGCTTGACATGTGGACCGTATTCCATTGTCGGTCGTGGGATAGCAAGCCCGCGCGGACTCAGGCTCGGACGTTTATACAAATGCAAATGAACAATGTCTTAATTTTAGACGGGCAGAACTGCGTCATGGGAAATGGCTGTTTGCATGAACCGGATCGGCGTAGTAACGCCCATTGTTGGCCTCACACGCGAGAGAGCGAAGTTGGTTCAACACCGTGGCCTCTGGTGGAATAAATGAATGAGAATCAGAATCTGTATTTATCCTGGAGAAATCTCATGAGCCGTGAAGCTCTTGTCCAGAGAGCGTCCACTAAGGGGCGGGTCAGAAAGTTACAACAACAAACAATAGAAAAAACATGAGTGGAGTGCAAAGTATAGTAAAAGATAAGCAAATCACTGCAAATAAACACGTAAATTAGTGAAGTATATACTTTCGAACTGCATAAGTACAGCAAAATTCCCAAGCTTGGGAAAGGCAGCAAGACAACAGCAAAAAACAGTCCCAGACCACACCTAGACAAAGATGCCCCGTTTAGTCTTAACAGACTGTTTGGGCAAGTGCCGTTAGCTAGTACCGATGAAGGCTGGAACAGCACACGAGGGGGTGGGTGGCCAGCACCACGCCCGGCTGCCTTTGCCTCCCTAGTCGCGATGTTTACACACCACACCAGGACCTAATTTGAGGCTGAGTCGACCTAGAGATGGTCCAGGACCAATTCAAATAATCGTCACTGGTGTTGGCCGTGAGCGGGAAGCGACCTCGGGTGGCCGGGTTCGTAGCACAGCGCGCTAACCACTGCACCACCGCTCCCCACACCAAGACAAAAAAAGGACAAAGATCCCCCGTATAGATTTAACAGACTGTAGGGACAAGTGCTGTTAGCGAGCATCTATGAAGGCCCGCACAGCACACGAGGGGGTGGGTGGCCAACACCACGCCCGGCCGCGTTTGTCTCCTCTTTGGCGATGTTTACACATTGCACCAGGTACCAATTTGAGGCTGAGTCGACCTAGGGCAGGCCCAGGACCGGTTCAGATAATCGCTGTCACTGGTGTTGGCCGTTATTGGGAATCGACCCGGGTCGTCAGGTTCGTAGCGCAGCGGGCTAACCACTACACTACTGCTCACCACCAAGACAACACACAGTCCCTCACAGATAATGAGGCCCACGTTATTTCCAAACTCAGCACTTTTCACCCAACAGAGTTAAACGTTATCTTTATTTAAAAAAAACACACACACAAAGACTAAACTTGCTTGTCTATACCACAGCCAAAGCTCTCAGCCTTGATTATTTTAATTGGTATTACGTTTGAATGCAATAATGTTTCACAATAACCAAATGATGCTACAGTGAAATTGTGAATTCACAGGTGGCGCTTAGGCGGTGTGTGTGTGTGTGCGGCGAACCGAGTTCGATTCCCGCTCACGGCCGACACCAATTACGATTATCTGAACCGGTCCTGGGCCTCCCCTAGATCGACTCAGCCTCAAATGAGTACCTGGTGCGGTGTGTAAAATCATCGCCATTAGGGGAGACAAAGGCGGCCGGGGCGTGGTGCTGGCCACCCACCCCCTCGTGTACGGTGCCGGCCTTCATAGGTCCTGATCGCTAACAGCACTTGCCCCAACAGTCTGTTAAAGGCTATACGGGGGGTCTTTGTCTTTGCGGTGGCGAAACCGCGGCTACTAAATTGCGAACGCCCTGTGGCAGATGGCGCCGAAACTGACAAACAACAAACAGGACGCGTGGCGGTTGTTGGATATTCGATTGCGAACCCGAGTGGAAATGTCACTGAAGACGTTCCGTGTCACTGGCCACCAAATATACA